AAGCACAAAAAATTGTAAATCTACAACTGTACCTCATGGTGTTTCACTAATAAAAAAAAAATTTAAAAAAAAATGGATAAAAAAAAATAAAAAATAAAATAAAACATGTTCCCCATGGGGCCGGAGTGATAGCACAGTGGGTAGGGCTTTTGCCTTGCATGTGGCTGACCCAGGTTTGATTTCCAGCATTCCATATCGTCCCCTGAGCACTGCCAGGAGTAATTCTTGAGTCCAGAGCCAGGAGTAACCCCTGAGCATTGCTGGGTGTGACCCAAAAAGCAAAAACAAACAAACAAACAAACAAAACATGTTCCCTAGCCCTTGGAGCCATCTCTCCAGCCTGAAACCTATTCTTAAAAAACTGAGAAAAAATTATGACCAGACATTTCTTCAAAGAAGACGAACACCTGAAAAAATGTTCAAGTTTGCTTTTTTACAGGGGAAATGCAAATCGAAACCACAAGGAGATAATACTTCATACTGATGAGATTGGCTTGGGTCACAAAAGATTGAAAAGAACAAATCTTGAGAATGTTGAGAGGCCTTTCCCTCTTTAACGACAAGCCTAGTAGTTTGCTCATGGGAATATAAATTATACAATCTCTATAGAAAATGATATGGAGATTTCCTTAATAAAAAAAAAAAAACCAAACCATCTGGGCCCAGAGAGAGTACAGTACATATTACTCTTGCCTTGTATGTGGCCATCCTGGGTTTCATCTATGGCACCACATCATGGTCCCCAAATCCCACCAAGAGTGATCCCTGAGCAGAGAGTCAGGAGTAAATCCTGACCACCAGTGGGTATGGCCCTCTAAAACAAAAAAAAAACCCTATATGATCCAATAGTATCATGCCTAGGCATTTATCCAAATGATTTGAGGACACTAATTTGAAAGGATATTTGTACCCCTGTGTTTATAGTTGCACTATTTACAGTAGCCAAAACATAGAATCAACCTATGCATTCACTACAAATAAAAAACTGTGCTGTGTTTACGGATGCAACAAAGTTCCATCAAAATTCCAATGTAAGTTTCAAAGACTTAGAACAAATATTTCTGAAATTTGTATAAAACTATAAAAATTCCAGAATAGCCAAAGTTACCCTCAGATTTTTATAAAACCATGTGAAAATGGACTAAGGACAGACTCCGAAACTTAAGGAATTGAATTGAGTGCTCAGAGATAAACCATCAGGTCTTTGGGCAGTTAATTTAAAACAAAAAGACTAAGTGTTTGAAATGAAACAGAAGACATTCTTAGAGAAATAGTGCTACAAAAAACTGAATAGCCACAAGTAAAACAATAAAATTACATACCTATCTCACATGGTAGACAAAAGTTAGTTTAAAATTGACTAAAGGCCTTGATATCAAAACTGTTTACACAAAATACATTCAGGAAAAGGTTCTACAACCTAAGATTTTGACTTCAGAGGAGTCTTTCATGATATGGCCCTATTGGTCAAGAAAACAAAAGCAGATATAAACAAATGAGAGTATGTCAAACAAACAAACAAAAATGCTTCTGCAACATGAAAGAAATGAGGCCTAAAATAAAAAGAGGTCCTACTGATCAAGAAACAACATCCGCACATCAAAGGATTAAAATCAAGGATATTAAAAGCTCAACAAAAAAACAAAACCCATCACAAATAAAATAGGGAGTTATGAACATACAGTTCCTCAAGGCTAACATACAGATGGCCAATAGGCATATGAAAAAATGTTCATCATAACTGATTATACATGACAAATCAAAATATCAATGACATATCACCTCAAACCAACAAAAATGGCCTGTTAAAAAGTCTGGGAACAAAAAGTGCTGGTGGGGAGGTGTAAAAAGAGACTCTTGTGGCTAGAGCAATAGTACAGTGGAGTGGCTGGAACACTTGCCTTACGTGCAGCTCGTCCAGGTTTGAGCCCTGGAACCCCATATGGTCTCAAGCCCGCTAGGAATGACCCCTGAGCACAGAGCTAGGAGTAAGTCTTGAGCACTGCCAAGTGTGGTCCCCAAATAAAAACTACAAAAGATTCATTGATTGATTGTAGGACTGTTGCTTGGTTAACTATCTTTGGAAAATGGTTCAGAGACTTCTTTATAAATTAAGACTAGAGTGCCCATCTGATCCTGTGATTTTATTCCTGTATATCTACATTAATTCAAAAGAACATATGCTCACTGCAGCATTATTCACTATAGCCAAGATCTGGAAACAACCCAATTCTCCAACAACAGAAGAGTGCATAAAGAAATTGTGATATATATACATAGAAGAGTACTACTCAGGTATGAGAAAAGATGAAATTTTGCAATTCACTGCCTTCTGTATGGAATTGGAAGTAGTTAAACTAAGTGAAATTGTCAGAAAGAAAAAGACAAATATCAGATGACCTTGCTGATATGTGAAGTAAAAAAAAAACAAAGCAAGGGATTAGCTAGTTCTCAATGGGAGTAATAAAAGGAGGGAAAATATATAACCAGGGGTACCCCCTGAGTAGTTTTCAGGCAGTGATGGAGGATACTAGAGAAGTGTGAGGAATGAGATGAGTGAAGAGTAGGGACTCTGTCAAGGGTCTGATAAGACTCAGGGCAGTTTCTTCTGGTCAGATATGGAGGAGCTGGGGAGGAGGGAGGCAGTGGGAAGGGGTCAGGGGCAAGTGAGAAGGAATCTGAAGGACTTTATGCCTTAAGCTTACTGCCCTAGACTTCATGCTGAGGACTGCAGAGATAAAAGTCTTTTCTCTCTTTCAAGAAGGTAAACATTTTTTTCAGTAGTAGGATAAAGGAAAACAATTAGAAATATTTGTTGCAGATTATTATTATTATTATTATTATTATTATATTCTTATTGCAGTTAATTTGTCCTTACCTCTAAAGATCAGAGATAACCAAATTCTACTTTCTAGAACATAGTGGCTGCTATCTGCCCTGGCTCCGTTGATTTTTCTTGTCTTCTCATTCTTTATCCGTCCCTTATTCGCCACCATTTTAAAGACATTCATGTTCTATGTGTTCAATACATGACCTTAAATAAACATATCCTTGTAATATGTACATGTTGTATGGTGTGTTTTTAATTCACCTACATGGTATACTGCTATAAATCTCTTCCTGTGTCTTTTCTTACTTGATAAAAAAGCAGCCACTTCGATTAATATGTCTTGCTTCAAGCTGCTACATAGTCCACATACTATGTACATTGTAACATTACTTATAATGATAACCTAAGTATATGAGTGGTTAAGTAGATAATGGTTGAGTATATTACTGGTACTTTAGTGCTAGAAATAAATCTTCATTAACAACTCTATTCTGGATATCATGGGAAACAAGTATGTGATAATGTTAAGGGAGAAAATCAGAGAAAGTTGTCTTTACACTGTAAGAACAGTCACGTAAAAATACATATTCCTGCAGCCAAGGGCTGGAACAGATCAGAGAAAAATGGAAACAGCTTGGTATGTCAGAGCAAGCATACATTTTCCTTGTAGCTCTTAGTATGATTGTGGTATGCCTGGGGATTTGGTCTGAAGACACAGCTTCTCAGAGACTATAATCTCTGTGGAGCAACAGAGCAATGCCAATCTGCTGTCTGCCTCAGCCTCGGGGTGCCCGGCAGGCAGAAAGGCCTCTTTTCCTGCAGGTTTGTCCTGCAGTCAACTTCGGCTGCATTTGATTCTCTCCCATGGGAAGTGGGAGTGAAAGAAATTTTTTATAAGGCTGAGACAGATTGAGTGCGGTTGAATGATCTTCAAGATGAAACAAACAAGAAGGATCCCATCAATTATGCATACTACTCTTCCTATTGTGCAAGACACACACACCACAGAAACTTGTATGTGCTTGGAAAAATTTCGGAATAGCCCCCCCCCCCCAAAAAAAAAACTGAAAAATTCAACCGGTTAATAGTAATTGCGCCTAGAGAGGGAAGTAGAATTCAGGATCAGGGTTAGGAGGAAGAAATGCTTTTTAACATACAAGAACTATTCATTCTTCTTTTTAAAAAACACGGTTCTTTGATAACTTAGCAAATTTAGCCCACGTGACTCTTTTCATAACTCATTAAACTCAATCTGCACAAATGATGGTCCAAATATATATATATATATAGTTTGTTTCGGCCCTAATTTTTTTTAACATTGCTTTGAAGGGATGAGTATTTGATCATTATATAATTGAAACCCAAGCACAAAAAGTTGTAAGTCTACAACTGCACCTCATGGTGTTTCATTAATAAAAATTAATAAAAAAAATAAATTTTCGTAACTTTTATTACCGGGCCTTCCATTTTGTGTCTCCAACTGTGCACCTCTTTTTAGTGACAAAGCCTTAGCCCAAGAAATCACAAAACACGATATTCTTTTCTTCCTCTCCAGTCTCCTTTCCTTTTCTTGAGATCAACGCTAGCTAATCTCCCTCCAGCCCCAGCAGGGAACCCTAGCGGGTCCCCTACTCCATGCAGCTCTTGGGTCGCCTCGGACAATCATTTGAATGCAAAATGCCACCGACGCTCAAGATGCCAGGGTGGCTTGAGAGTGACGGGAAGATGGGGTCAGGAGCCGGTGGAAGGAGACCTTCCCAAGCAGTCTCAGCTCTTGGGGGGCGACTCCTGCACGTCTTGGCGCGCGGCTGGCGTTGCGGGCACCGGTCTGGCCCCGCCCCTCCGTCGTTTTCCCGGGCCCCGGGGCGCGCTCGCAGGTGGCCCCGGCGGGGGGTGGGGCCGCCGCCCCGCGTGCCGCGTCACCAGCACCTACCACTGGCCGTGGCGTGCGGGGGTGGGGGGGCGGTTGGCCGCGACCCTTCCCGCTGCCGGACGACGTGGCGCCACCCGCGGACGGCCCGGGCTTGGCGCTAAATTTAAAACCTCGCCGCCGGGCGAGGTGGGCCGGCTCCGGAAACGAGAGAAAACGAAAGCGCAGCCCCGCGCGCGCGCCCCGGAGTCGACGCTCCTCGCGCCATTTCCGCTGGGCCGCGCGGGGGCCCGCGGCCTGCACGCGGCCGGGCCGGGCGGGGGCATGGAGGGCGGCACGGAGGGTGGCGCGGAACGCGGGGCCGGGGCGAACGCCGGCCAGCGCGTCATCCTGCTTCCAGGTAAGCGCGCTCCGTCCCGGGCCTGCGCGCACCCGCACCCGGGGCCCGCGCTCGGGCTGGACCCGCCCCGCACGCACGCGGAGCGCGCGTATACACGGCTGCGCGGGGCTCCCGGGCTCGGGCTAGACCCGCCCCGCACGCACGCACGCAGACCGCTCTTGTGCACGGCTGCACGGGGCTCTCGGGCTCGGGCTGGAGCCGCCCCGCACGCATGCAGACCGCGCGTGTTCGCGGCTGCCCGGGGCTCCCGGGCTCGGGGTGGACCCGCCCCGCACGCACGCAGACCGCGCGTGTGCACAACTGCACGGGGCTCCCGGACTCGGACTGGATCCGCCCCCGACGCACGCACGCAGACCGCGCGTGTCCGCGGCTGCCCGGGGCTCCCGGGCTCGGACGGGACCTCGCCGCGCGGGGGCGGGGCGGGGCGCGCGGAGCGGGGTGTCACGCACGCCCGTGGGGCAGGTTTCTCCGCGGCCCCGCTTCGGTGTTCCCGTGGATGACCACACCCGAGATGTGGGAGATTCCCCGTGTCACTGGGATGTGGGACGATGGCCCTGCTGGGTGCCCCATGCAGGTGGAGAGGAGTTCGGAAGTTCGGAAGCTGAACCACGCAGTCACTTTCCAGGAAGGAGCGTGTTCTGGCCTGACCGCTGAATGAAAAAGCAAAGAAAAAACCCGCCGCTCGGCTGACCTTGAGAGTTCCCATGAAATGCAGCCTTTCTTGCAGCAGATAATACTGGCAGTTTACTTCGCCAGTAAATTTATTTATTTTAAAAACTGGGTCCACGCCCCTCTTTCTGCCCAGTGTTCTCTGGCCTGTTCGGTGCCCTCGGGCTACCAGCGTTACAGCTGCTGGGGGGGAAGGGGGGGCAAACTGGGTGTCCCCACAGACTCAGCACCTCACTTGTGCTCGGCCTGTGCTCCTCTCTCTTAAACCATCTCTCTGGCCTAATCTAGATTGACGCTTTTTCGTGTTTTGTTGTTACTTTTTGGGTCACATCCTGTGATACTTAGGGCTTACGCCTGGCTTTGTTAAAGGATTTCTCCTGGCGGTGAACTGGTGACCATATGGGGTACCAGATATTGAACCCCGGTGGTCAATGCAAGGCAAGTGCCTTCCCCACTGTACCATCTCTCTGGCTTGTTAGGGTGCATATTGGGCATTATTGCATGAAAGTTTGTCATGAATATTTTATGTTCTGTTTATCACCCCCACTCGCTCTATACAGAGGCATATATGCATTTGAGCATTCAGCTCAGAGAGATTTTCTTGTGTCCACTTCTATAACCATTGCCTAGGTGAGGATGTAGAACTTTTCCAGCAAGGTCCTCATGCTGCTGTTCTGCAGACCCCCTCACCTTTACCCTGACTTTCATCATCAGAGATTCTTTTTGCCTCTTTGGATAAGTGTATGTTCCTTTATTGCTAGCCCCTCCCCCATTTCATTATTAAGTGCCTCTGATTTACAAGTACAGTGTGTTGCAGTGATTCTGTTTCTTGGTTTTTCATTGCTGTGTATATTGTATTGTATGAATGTTCACAATACATATCTCTTCTAATGTACATGGGTATTTAGAGTACCTCTAGTTTGACTATAGTGAATTGTATCTTCAAGAAAATTCTGTAATTTCACTGGAGTGTATACTGAAAAGTGGAATTGCTGACTTCCAGTGCTTTATGGTCAACTCTAATAGAGACAGCTAAACAAGTTTCTGAAGTGGTTGTACCAATTTACACTCCCATCAGTAATGTGTGAGGGCTCCTGTTGCATCGCTCTTTGCTAGAAATGTTGTTTGTTTGTTTGTTTGGGCTACACCTAACTGCTCAGAGGGCTACTGAAAGCCTTTTGGGGTGCGGGAGATTGAACCTGGGTCAGTTGCATTCAAGGCAAGGGCCCTACCCATGGTACTATCTCTCCAGCCCCTGCTAGATATGTTTATATAGTGAAATGGTTAATTCAAGGTTCCTGTAGAATCCAGCAAAGGGTTACCTGTATATATGGTTTCACTGGGGAAAAAAAATCTTTATTTGTCACATTCAGTCAATGAGATTTTTAGGTTAGGAACTCCTGATCATTTTTTCAGAATCAAGTACAGAATTGTTTTTCAGATACACGAAATGGTTGGAGATTGTTGGAATTTTTTATTTTGTTCTGTTTAATCAGCATTGACTTTTGAAGGGTGCTTGTATCCTCGTAGTGCTAAAATGAACACTTTCAACAAACAGAAACCTGAAATAAGAATTGATTGCACAGTTGAAACATGCAGGCCTAAAAGAGGGATTTCATCATCTTAGTTCTTCTTCAAAGCTGAAATGCTCTGTGACCCTTAGTACAGTGGAGGTTGAACAGATGGACAGGGAGAACCACATAGTCAGGAACTGGGAAGTAGACAGTAATCTGGGTGTTATCTGTTCCAGGTTCGATTCCTGGCACCACATTCCCCCTTCTTCCCCCCACCCCCACCTCTACCAGCATCCCCCCAGCATCATCAGGTGCTTCCCTGAAGACCCTTGAGTACTGCTGTGTTACTCTGGAGGTTCCCAGCATATAGGGTCCAAGCTATATCATATCTTCCAGCCTTTGTTCTGAATTGACACTCTAGTCAGTATCATTGCAGTTGGGGTCCCCAGAGAGATGGAAGCCTCCCTCCTCCAAAGAACTATAGTCAGGGACCAGAGAGATAGTACAGAAGATAGAGCTCTTGCCTTGCACACAGCCACCCAAGTTCTATCCCTGGCATCCCATATGATCTCCCCAGCATCACCAAGAATGATTCCCAAGTACAGGGCCTGGAGTAAATCCTAAACATTGCCGGATGTGGCCATCCAAAATGGAAAAGGGGGGGAGGGGGAAAGAAAGGAAGGAAGGACCATAGTTAGGTTGGCTCACTCACCTTGAGCTTCCTACTCTCCCTCTTGCCTGCTTGCCTTTAGTGTCACCTGCAGGTTTGAGGGTCCAAACACTAGTGGACCCTAGTGGAACAATAGGCCACCCAATTTTCAAACCTTATCTGTCACTGTCACTGTCCTCCCGTTCATCGATTTGCGCGAGCAGGCCCAGTAACATCTTCATTGTGACAATTGTTACTGTGTTTGGCATATCAAACACGTCAATGGGTAGCTTGCCAGGCTTTGCTATGCGGGCGAGATCCTCTCGGTAGCTTGCTGGGCTCTCCGAGAGGGGCGGAGGAATCGAACTCGGGTCGGCCAAGTTGGCCACTTGCAAGGCTAACGCCTTACCCACTGTGCTATCGCTCAAGCCCAAACCTTATCTGTATAACTGTTTATCATGTGGTACCTCTTGGAGAATCTATTTAGAATATTATATTAGGTCTCTTGGTCTCATGTTCATTTCTGGGGAAATGTCATGGATAAACACAGACTAGAAGTTGGAAAGGCAGGCTGACCTGGGGCAGGGCATGATTTTCATGATTTTAGAGATAGAGCCGCCTCCCATTTCTGTAGTGGGATGGTTTAAATATATCTGGAATATGGAGTACCATCCCATTTTCAGTTTTAATTATTATAAGACCATCAACATTTCTGCTTCTTAGAATGTGGTAGAAGTTTCCATCTGTCTCTGCTGCCTTAAATGTTAATGTTCAAGATACACACATACACCCACACACAAATTTAGTGCTAACCCTGGCTACGTTCAGGGATAACTCCTGAAGTTGCTTGGGAAAACACATGTAGCGCCAGGGATTTGAACCCGTGTTGGCCGCATGCAAGGCAAGCACCTTATCTCCTGTATTTTATCCTTAGGTTATATTTTAGTTAGGTTATATCCTTAGGTTATATTTTAATTATTTTTCTCTAGCCCATGTTTTGCAGTTTTCAGTTGTACTGAGTTGGAGTAAGTCTTAAACTGATGGGCAGTTGGAAACAAACCCATACATTATAGTGGGGAAGATTTATTGCTTTTGTTGGGTGAGTCCTATTACTTAGATATCTCCAAGGAAATGTTGAAACATTGGGAAACTCTAATGTTGTGTGAGGCAAAACAAAAAAAAAGGAAAGACAGAATTGATCTTAGGATCATTATAAAAATCACTTAGGTCTACTTACACTGCAAACATCCCTCAGTCAGCTCCTGGATTAAAAAACTCTTAGATCAAATTGGACTGCAGTTGGCATCTTCAGTTGTAAACATGTTTTGCAATAGTTATTCTCCTTTATTTCATGAAAGAACATGTTTAAAAGTTTTTCAGAAAAGCTATATTTTAAATTTAATTTTACACTAGTAGCATAATGGATATTAGGGCTGCGAGTAGAGGCAGCATTACTGGTGGTGGTTTAGGAGCCAGGGCCTACCTGCCTATTTCAGACATTCCAGACACAGGAAAGAACTTTTTATGTGACACTCTTTTTATCATAAGAAATAACATCAGGTTTTTCTCTCCAAGTGGGATGCCAAAATAGGTGTGAAAGCAATATATGAATACAATCTTTCAGAATTATATTTTAAAGCAGGTTTCTCATCTGTGGGACTTGGCTTCCTGTTGGACCCCTGGGATCGTCTCAGGGGGCAATAGGCGAAAAGTACTTCAGTGGGGGCTGCAGCAGGAAACTAGGAGGCCAGCCATTGGGACCGGAGGAACTCAGGAAGGAAACAAAGTCAGAAAAAAAAAGGTTGAGAAACAATGTTCTAAAGAATTTAATGCGTGAAACAAATTTGAGGAAAATTTAATTTTGTATTTAGTTATTGAGAAGATTTATAGTATTTTTGATTAGAGTTTTGTAGTGTTTTGTAAGTCCGCAAGAACCATGCCTTCTTGGGATGGGGGTAGGGGGGTGTTAAATTTAAGGTGGCAATGGAAGAATTACTAGAAACCTAAAAAATAACTTTTCTCCCACCCTGAGAAGCAAAACAACAAAGGAAATCAACAACAACAACAATTCTTTTCTTCCTTCTTTTTTATGTGGCATGGCGGGTGCTCATGGTTTATTACTAGTTCCGTGCTCAGGGAGCACTCCTCATGGTGCGCAGGGGACTGTA